GGCACTGAAGGGCAGAATTATGAAGCTAGAGTGGAATGGAGGCTGCATGAGGAGAAAAAAAAAAGGAAATGAAAATGGAGTAGTGCTGCATGTGTGATTAAACTGCCTGCTCGCACTCAAGTGAAAGGCCACACTGCTCGACACAGACATGGCCCTAATGAAAATATGACGCCAACCCCATGTATGATGAATGATGTGCATGAGTGCATACAGCCTACGTGCAGTCGCGACGCTAAGTAGGATTTTGTACTGAAAAGCTTTGCCTTTTGTATTCTATTGTATGGAAACCGGTGCCCTATAGCCCCTTTTGTAAGTGCGAGGAACCATATTTGGTCTTGGACATGGCAACATGTGGTTCATTGTCCAATTTGTGAACATTTTTACATTTTCATGCTTTATTTGGAGTGCACTTGAGAAAAAAATGTTTAAAAAAAAAAGAATTCTATCCTGATAAAATGTTTCTTTTTCTTCCTGGCATTCCCTTTCCTTTCTGGGATGTGATTTAGTTATAATAAATAAATGAATGACTAACGGTCTTATGTTTCTCATGATGCTCCAATTTATTGAAAACATAATGTAGGTTTTGTATGATTTCCTACTCAGTTGTTTTGCTCTTGTAGGTATGTATGCATAATCTATAAAGATTCAGTCCAAATCTGTCCTTTACAAAGAAAAGAATGTTCACTTTTTGTGAATTTAGTATTGTGGTTGTTGTCGTGGTGTAAAATTGCACTGTGTGCTCTTTCTAATATTTTGGCTTGTTTTACAATTAATATTATTGCATATACACAAAATAAGGTCTTCAGTGTCATCTAGTCATGTACAACAGATTTTTTGGTCCAGATGCCGAGACTTCGCATCAGTCATCCAGCGAGCGTGGGAATGGGCTCGATGATGATGATGATGATGATGATGAAGGTGATGATGATGAAGGGGGTGTCTGTATACTGAAGGAAGTTGCACTTCTGGATGTGGCTAGACAGCCCAGCTGCACTGACGTCCATTCAGAAACAGGTTTGGAATGATCGCAGGGGGTCAAGGTCAGGGGTGTGGTAGTGCGCCAGGGGGAGGTGTTCTTCTGTGTGCTTGTGTTTGCATCCCCCCCTCCCCCCTCAGCTGGCCGACTGTGTGTAAGCTGTCTCCGTGTTTGCTTATTTTATAAGCTGCTTCTTATTGCTTTGCTCCACGGACAACTTGGTGCAAAAAGGGATAGGGGGGATTCGGGTGCGGGTGGGGGGGGGTTGTAGTTGTGGTTGGGTCGGGGGATTCATCACCACCCACCTTCTGGCCCGTCTCCAGAAGTCCAAATCAAGTCAGGAATCAGTCCTGCATCTCTGTAGCCCACCCTCCCGGTCAAATAAGCGCCCCCTTTACAGCACCATGGAGTGAAACCCAGTCAGACACTTTGACAGCCCCTCCACCAGCCCCAGCAACACCCCCCTGGTTGTCTCAGTCTGCTGCCTCCTGTAATTTAACATGTCAGCTCAGGGTTCATCTCGTGTGCACCCCAAAGTAGGTAGCCAGGCACCTCTTACACTTGCCGCAGCCGTGAACATCGTATACAGGACTGTATAGGTGTCTTGAGATACCACGAGGTTTTTTTTTTCTATTACATTTTGACACCCGTAAAGAACGGGTTTCCTCTATTTGATGTCAAGTCTCAATTACCGGTAGTCTATTTTGAATGAATAAACACATGTGCCATAAGAGATGCTGTACCTTCCTTTTAGCAGCAGTTTAAAAAGAATAAAGGGAGTAACTATAATTTTGTCAGTTCAGATGGTATTGTTCACACACGGACATAAAGAGTTAATTGCTAACAAAAAAAAAAACAGTTGGCAAAAGTGCTCACACAGCTACTCGTGTAAAGAAAGAAAAAAGACTGGTGAAAATAGAACGATTGATTCAACTTCATTTACTTGTTTGTTTGTTTTTTTATTGAACATAAAAATGAGTAAAAGTAAAAAGAAAAAAAGAGTACAGACTTCATACCGGTATATACTGTAAGTACAAACAGCAAAAATCAAACAATTTTCAACACTGCTTATCCTCTATGGGTCAACTTGGCACAATGAAAAAAATAAAATCTACACACAAGATACTGTCACACTTATTGGGCTCTATTTCAGGAATTTTCAGTCCTTGGTACATTAGAGTCCCTGGAAGAAAAAAAAAGTTTGTTATCATCCAATCATATTGAGAGCTGTAAAATTTACCTCTTGAAAATATATTCTGCTTTGGGAAGCTGAGCAATTATTCTGGTGGCTAAATTTAGACGATAGGACCTCCAGAAGTTCCTACTTCTGAGCTAAGATTCCTGCAGTTGAAATGTGCTAGTTTTCATTTATTAGGGGGGAAAAAAAAGTGCCGAAGGAGAAACAGGCAGCTGTCAGGTTGTATTTGAAACACGTGTTAAGATATTTCATTTCCAAATGAAGAATGCCCTTTAAAAGCTGTAATCCCCTTGGTAATATAAATGTCATTTGCTACTTGGATACTTTTAATGGAGGAATAGGAAAAAATAAATAAATCAAGGGCGTTGGACGGAAATAGCGTTCCCATTCTCCATCATTGGGGGCAATTCTGCTTCATTGGAAAGAAAGAAAGAAAGAAAGAAAGAAAGAAAGAAAGAAAGAAAGAAAGAAAGAAAGAAAGAAAGAAAGAAAGAAAGAAAGAAAGAAAGCACTTTCCTTCATCACCTCAACACAAATCGGCCCCTCTCTTTCTCCTCGCCTTCGCCTGGAGGGAGGGGATGGGTGGAGCCGTCGTCCACCCGCAACAGAACCAACCTCCCGTCTCCCGGCCACCTCATCGTCTCAGCCCTCGCGTTGAAATCAAGCTTAGCGACGACATTCAGTGACCGCTCACCTTGTTCACACACACACACACACACACACACACTGCACCCACCCACTGCTTAAATCCCTATCAGCATGTCAAGTTAAATGTCTGCCCAGCTGGGGTTGACACACATGCATGCACACGCACACAGGCATTGACACACCACCATCTTTTGCTCGCTCCCAGGCTTTAGCCTTCATCCCCGCTGACCCCGTTCACCTCGTCTTTTCCTCCCCGCCGCCTCTCCTCCGAGCTACTAAATCTGCGCCCGCTTTATAACGGCCCGCTTTTTTATTATGTTATTTATTTATTTGATTCTTTTTCAACCGGCTTTCTTCAAATGCTGCTCTGTACCCTCGGGCCGCTCACCTTTTACATCGTTGTGATTAAAAAGTTGCGGGAATTCTCCATCCTCTAAATTTGTCGCGACAACAACTCCGGGGTCAGTTTATCTGCTAATAAAATCAGCAGCTGAAATATCTGCAGTATGAAATAAGGTCCCATATTTTTTCTTATTTTATTCTTTTATGTACTGCTCCCACAAAATATACAGTCAACGGGGGAAAAAAATGGTCCTATTTAATCATTTTGATAGCTGAGCCAAGTCTTAAGTGGCTTGTAACGTAAATTACTTCAAAACCATTCAAATGGCAGACCTTTGGAAATGCATACACAAAACGGTACATCTATTTTTTAATCATCCATAAGACGCATTACTTTTGAAATTGTTTATTCTAATTGTACCACATGTTTGACAGATTTAGCGCTATTAAGCTAGGTTGAGACATCAAAAACATCGGGCAGCGCCACGTGTCTCACTTGCATTTCTTGGTCACACAACTACACGGGGGTTGTTTCGAGCAAAGAGGCTTATCTTCCGACAGATGGCAAACAAACTTTAAACATCGCTAGTCAATCTGGTGACCGATGGTTGTGTTATTACTTTGGCTAATGCTAAATGCTATCTTAGTTGACAATTGCCCTCAACATTAACCGACCTTTTTTGCCGGGCCCCTGCAGCTATTGGAAGCTGGATGTTTCGTTGACCTTGTGCCGGTCTGGTCCTTCATTATAACTTTAGAAATATGCCGCCGGAAAAGCTCGGCTTGTGTTGGGTCTAACTAGAGACACAGAAGCAGGACGTAGTCCTAGTCCTGGTGTGATGAAAACATATAAACACATGCTAACAATTTAGATGCAGATGAGAATGACAATGCAATCATAATAGGAAGGAATTTGACACATGATATATATTTTTTTTTAGTTGGGAGGCTCGAACTGATTAATGGCATTTTCATTAGTTTCAGTGGGGAGAGCTGATTTGTGAGTGTTGTGAGTGACGAGCGTGGTCATGGAACAGATTAAACGCATCGCTCAAGGCGCAACTGTCCTCTGTATTTTACTTCTGTTTTGCAAGGGTGGCCAAGATAGGCTGGAAATGACTTAGCAGGGCTCCTGGATGGAAGCTAGTGAAGTAAATAAGCGGACATGCTAAACGGTAACAAAACTTGACGTTGTTTCAACAGCAACTTAATCATTTGGCTCCAATGTCCAAACTCTGAGCAGTAACGTTAGCACTGATGCTAACATATAAAGCAAGATGTCCTTGACCTTTCCATTTATAATATAATTCACTAAAATAGAAAATCTAAACAGGCCAGTCCTTACGACAAACCATTGTACCATTCGCATGATTTTGAAGGTTTTAGTTTAATCTAGTTATCACAATGTCTAAAGACAAAATTATTGGATCACATGTAGCAGTCAGCTCTCATACAAATCCTTCCTCTTCCGTTGACCCTTTCACACACCCTATAACCTGATAAAATCATAAGCTGTCCACTGTGGTAGCCGCTGTCCCTGAATGGGTTAAAGCTATATATAAATTTGATACTTTCTTTTTGGGGGAGTGACAATAACAAGCATGCAGCCTTCTCTACTACAGCAGTACAGTTGCTATCTTCTTGAAAATGTATTCACATCATCTCCACATCCCACTGGCACAATATTAGCAAGCGAATTTATGACAAGTTGAGACCCCTGCCAGTGAATGAACTCTTATTAAAAAATGTGTGTGTGTGTGTGTGTGGGGGGGGGGGGTCTTTAATTTGCAAATAAAGCATGCAGGCCCTTCATTTCGGTCTTTTTTTTCCCATCAGGCATGGCGTGGACAGCACAGGGCTTGACAAGGATGGGGTCCTTGCTGCATGCAACTGGCGAGAAGGGAAGGAAACGTGGACCATGTGGAGGTGTGTGCGCACTTTGATCATATGGTTGTCTCAACATTGTTAGTCAACTACACACACACACACCCACCCACACACACACCCACACACACACAGAGCGATCTACTGTGTGTGTGTGTGTGCGTGTTTGCCTGTGTGTCAAGAGATGCTACTGATGTTGTTGTGTTCCATCAGTCGTGCAGCAATGATGAAAGCAGATGTTCGGCCCTCACCTGTCAAATTGTGGCCTTTGTTTTGGAAGAAAAATGTCTGAGGGTGAATTGAAAGTACCATATTTCCTGAAATCACCCCCTTGAAACCAAAAATAACTTGCTGTCTAACAAGTGTCTGCTTATTTCTCCTTTGGTGTTTATCAATGCACAGGGACAGGCAGTGCTAAAACAACAGGATGTATCGAGGAATATGGAGTACCACAAATTATTTGATGGGGGCGGGGGGCTTCAATATATAATCATACATTTTCATTTCATACAGTTTACCTCACCCCCTATCCATACGTTACTGCTTTGGCACTGATGAGAACTAAAGAAAGAATCCTGACATACATGTTTTTCATTAAGCAGAATCTTCATAAGCTGAGTTTGAAGAAGCTGTTTACACAGTGCACCAAAGCTTTAAATCCTCAGCCACACTTTCCTGTGTGAAGGGAAGGTTCCATAGTGCGACGCTCCATTGTGGTGATGGTGGGGGGGTTCCAACATTGATCCCAACGTTGGGGTTCCAACGTTCCAGTCACGCTCACTGGTAACGAGTAAAAAGGGCACAATTGAGCGCAATCCAATGAGGCATGTGTCGATTGTTATGAGAGGAGAAATTGTACAGAGCTAACACACAGAGTGCAGGTTACAAGGACTTGCAGGGTTGGGATGGTTACCTGTTAAAAAAAAATGTAGTCAGTAATATAATCCAAGTACCATTATATTAATGTAGCTTGTTTACTTTCAATTACTTTTGGATTTGTAAATGGCAAAAAAAAAAAAAAAAGTGACAAAAGCGAAATGTGCTAAATATCAAGTATATCTTTTATGACTGTCTTATGTTTAATTAATATGCCAGAGGAAGATTCAAATCCAGAATCTCAGAACTATCAGGCAGCCATGCTAACCACTAGACTGCCATGCTGCTTGCCTCATAACACTACTTTTAAAACCTATCCACATGACAGAGTGTGTTTTTTAATTACCGGTACCAAAAATTTGGGGGAAAAAAACTTTATGAGGCCTACCTTTGCAGTTAGGAGTAGACACGGTTGCCACGTAATAAACGACACAAAACGATCTGCTTTTCTCAAATCCTTTCTCCTACCACTTAGCCCTCAAAAGTGACATTTAGCTTGTTGTTTCGTACCTCCACACCGCCTTTACGTTATTGACGGTGGCGTTATTTTTCACTTTCGAGTGTCACACCGGGGTCGCGCCTTCCATTTTCAACCCCCTTGTGTCTTTTTTTGTTTATTTTTTTAACACACGGCGCAGCACCTTAAATGACATAGCGTATGTGTCGCATACGCTGTTTGTGTGCGTGTGGACGTCTGCATGCTCACCGGATGCGTACTGTTAGGGCCGCTATTAAACTGTCTGACTGCATCAAGCGCACCCAACCATAGAGTACTCTGTGTGCACGGTGTGCAAACTTCTCATGGCAGGCCACACATTGGGCATAACGTCAGAAATAATCGGACTTTCAAACATGTTTTTTAAAAATATTAAATCAACATCAACAAAAGCCGAATCAGCCACAGCAAACGGTCTTGCATCAACCGTCTTTGCACATGTGTAACAGGCGAGTCATTACATAATTGTGTTATATTGAACTTGGGCGGGTGGATGCACTCACACTTATCAGCAATATTGACTTTTCTGTAACTCCTAAAACCGTTTTGAGTTCTGCCAATTTACATCTTCAGCGTCTGTGCTTTCTTTCTCCCTGCTCCTCTTAACTGCGCAAAATTGAAAATTTGCTCTCCCATGCTGTGGTTGACCTGCTCGTTTTATTCCACATCGTAGTTTGCAAGCGCAGACTGACAAAAAGTCTCCAGTATGTTTTTCTTGAGTTTCAAATGGAGTTCTTGTCGGCTAAAACCTCACCAGCAGTTCCGATGGATTACCGAAACAGAGTCATGTGACACAAGTGACACAAGTCTCTGTGACAAACCGAAACGGCTCACGCAGGCAATCATAGATGTAGAGAAAAGTAATCGTAGCGAGCGGAATATAGCTCCATGTCACGGAATAAACTTGTAAAAACCTGATAACATGACAGTCTGTCCACTGTAGTAACCGCTGTCCCCGAAAGGGTTAGTAATATGTTTGTTTGCCGCCGATTTGATTTGCACTAGCGTGTCACCGCACCGCATACAGATAATGACCATAATTACCTTCATGAGGGGGCTATGAGATTTTTCGAGGTGTGCTTAATGATTTGTCCGGTGAGTTTATTTCATGTGCCTTTTTCCTCACGTTTTCGGGCTGTGGCAAAATTACAACTGGCAGGGGTGGCGCAGAGAGTCAGCAAAGATAAACAAAGCAACAAAGTGTGGA